GATTCTGAAAAAAAGGAAGATAAGAATGAATATTATTGAAACAACATTCCATTTGGATCTTACCTGTGGAGTGATTATAACAGTATCTCTAAAGGGTTCGTACTTTCACAGAGCAGAATTACTGTGAAAAATCTGCAACTACTTCATTTTGCATCACTGAGGAACTCTAAGAGGTGTAACTTCCAGGCAGGTTCTGTATAGCGGGCCTTATCCTGAATTCCTCACTCATGGAAGTAGGATACTTTGTCTAAATGAAGACTGGGCTCTGTGCTTTTTATATGTAGCTGTGCATACAAGTGAATAATAATAATACCTAGCACTTTTGAGCACATGATTGAGTCCAGAGAGTTTGTATCTGTTAATATTCTTAGACTTCAGGTGTGCTGAAGCAAAGGACATTGCTAAAAAATGTGTAAATAAGGATATGTCTGAATATAGAATTCTGTGCCCTTCACACACCAAGTGACGGTGCATTTTGACAGATACAACAGTGAGCAGAAAGAGCTGTTCTAAGGGGATTTGACAATAGTGGATCTAAAAATAATAAGAGGAAAACAAAGAGAATCAAATAAGGCAGCCCCTCAGAACAGCCCAGGAAACAAAATTTCCATCCCACACAAAAAAAATTGAATTTGCAGAACTTTTCATCCAGAATCAGGATGAAAGGCCAAAGATTGAAATTTTGCAATATTTTGTTTCAGAAATGCTGAAATGTTTTATAGTGCAGTGGGTCTCAACCTTTCCAGACTACTGTACCCCTTTCAGGAGTTTGATTTGTTTTGTGTACCTCCAATTAACACCACACTTAAAAACTACTTGCTTACAAAATCAGACATAAAAATACAAAAGGGTCACAGCACTCTGTTACTGAAAAATTGCTTGCTTTCTCATTTTATCATGTAATTATAAAATAAATCAATTGGAATAGAAATATTGTACTTATATTTCAGTGTATAGTATATAGAGCAGTATAAACAAGTCATTGTATGAAATTTTAGTTTGTACTGACTTTGCTAGTGCTTTTTATGTTGCCTGTTGTGAAACTAGGCAAATATCTAGGTGAATTGATGTACCCCTTGAAAGATTTCTGTGTACCCCCAGGGGTACACATACCACTGGTTGAGAACCACTGCTATAGTGGAAATGTTGTGGTGTTTCCAAAATGAAATATGATCACTGGGATACCCAGCAGATCACCTATTAGGCAGGCGTCCTGGTGAGCTGGCCAGCCAAGGAGCCCAGTAGCCCAGGGAGCTAGGGAATCAGCTGCTCAGGGAGCCTAGTAGCCCACCCGTCTGCATCCTGAGAGACAGCCACCCAGACTTCTGGTATCTTAGCGAGCTGGGGAGCTTGTAAGCCCAGCTCTGCAACTGCTCACCAGATGGGCTGCCAAGGAGCCTGGCTGCTGAGGAACAAGGAGCCTGAAAGCTCAGGACAACCCCAGTTCCACCACTGAGGCTGCCAAGAAGCATGGGAGCAGAGAGGTGGGCAGGCGGGTGAGCTAGCAGGAAAGCAGGCAGGCAGGATGGCCAGTTGGATGGCCTGCCTGGTTTCCATTGAAAGTATTGAAGCAATCTACATCTTCCCACGGAACACGTAGAGTCCATCGAATCAGCATTTTCTGTTGGAAAGCTGACAACCTCTTAGAGAGACCGAGAAAGAGAGATTGCATTAGGATTTTTCTAAATAGATTTAGTGTGGGGCCAAGGTACCACACTGCAGGCACTGAAAAAAATTAGATCACCCTGTTTTTATTTTATTTTTTAAATAATCTCCCATACACCTTTTCCAATTTGTAGCAAGCTTTCCAGGAAAAAAATGTACCCTGCCCTATATCACAGCTGTAAAATTTCAGGTGAATTTGTTTCAGGTTAGCAAGGTTGGGATCACAATCAGACTTCAAACTGAACACAGTTTTTCCACTTAACCTATTATACAAGTGTTTAGCGTTTCCCCATGGTCACTCTCCATATGCTTTGTGATAACTGGGCATAATAGGAAGGCATGCTAAAGACAGCCTTGATTTACAAATGGAAATTATTGTTAGATGGCTTTGTGGATTTTGTCAGTGCTTTACACACTTCATAATTTAGGTTTTAATGCAATATGTAGAATACAATCCCATGCAGCTCACTCATGTGTGAGATTTGGAGAAGTCCACATTTTAGTCCACATTGGTTGCATATGGCCGTATCTTATTGTCCTCCATTTTGGCAGAATTTCCCACTAAAGACAATTATAGTTTTGACTGAGTGAGGACTGAAAAAGTTGGCCAGTTTTATAGTGAAGATGTTTGGTTTGAATTTCAGAGATGCACTGCACCCACATGCCCCAGCAAAACCAGTGGGAACTGTAGATAGAATCATAGAAGAATCATAGAATGTTAGGGTTGGAAGAGACCTCAGGAGGTCGTATTGTCCAACCCCCTGCTCAAAGCAGGACCAACACCAAACTAAATCATCCCAGCCAGGGCTTTGTCAAGCCGGGCCTTAAAAACCTCTAAGGATGGAGATTCCACCACCTCTGGAGGGAACCCATTCCAGTGCTTCACCACCCTCCTAGTGAAATAGTGTTTCCTAATATCCAACCTAGACCTCCCCACTGCAACTTGAGACTATTGCTCCTTGTTCTGTTCTCTGCCACCACTGAGAACAGCCGAGCTCCATCCTCTTTGGAACTTGTCCTTGTTGAACCTCATCAGATTTCCTTTGGCCCAATCCTCCAATTTGTCTAGGTCACTCTGGACCCTATCCCTACCCTCCAGCTTATCTACCTCTCCCCCCAGCTTAGTGTCATCCGTGAATTTGCTGAGGGTGCAATCTATCCTATCATCCAGATCATTGATAAAGATGTTGAAGAAAACCTGCCCCAGGATCAACCCCTGGGGCACTCCGCTTGATACCGGCTGCCAACTAGACATCGAGCTGTTGATCACTACCCGTTGAGCCTGACAATCTAGCCAGCTTTCTATCCACCTTATAGTCCATTCATCCAATCCATACTTTTTTAACTTGCTGGCAAGAATACTGTGGGAGACCATATGAAAAGCTTTGCTAAAGTCAAGATATATCACGTCCACTGCTTTTCCCATATCCACAGAGCCAGTTTTCTCATCATAAAAAGCAGTCAGGTTGGTTAGGCATGACTTGCCCTTGGTGAATCCATGTTGACTGTTCCTGATCACCTTCCTCTCCTCCAAGTGCTTTAAAATGGTTTCCTTGAGGACCTGCTCCATGATTTTTCCAGGATCTGAGGTGAGGTCTGTAGTTCCCCGGGTTCTCCTTCTTCCCTTTTTTAAAGATGGGCACTATATTTGCCTTTTTCCAATCGTCCAGGACCTCCCCCAATCACCATGAGTTTTCAAAGATAATGGCCAATGGCTCTTCAATCACATCAGCCAATTCCCTCAGCACCCTCGGATGCATTAGATCTGGACCCATAGACTTGTGCATGTCCAGCTTTTC